AATTAACTGGAAAGTACAATATACAAATGTGGATACAATGAAGCCGAACTACTCTACATTTGATTTTTACTTCGACTAGCTTATGCTATAGTATTCAGTGTTGGTAAACAGCTCAGCGTATACGCATATTATTCATTTCCTGGGCCTCATCATTGTTTATTAATATTATGCCTGTTCGAACTATATTTTAAGCTTCAACTAATTATTTTCATCCCTCTCTTACGCCTTTTTATGGCTAACCGAAAATCAAATTCAAATTTAATTTAAATAGCCATGCGGAAAAGTTGGATGATTCGCTGGCACGCACAAATGCCAACAAGTAAGTGTTGTGCAGCACTGAAGAATGTTGTTCTTTTGGCGTTTCGCAACACTAATTAAATTGCACACGGCACGCTTGAGAGTTATGCATTCTGCGAATCGCACATACGCACTGTTAGCCATAAAAATGTCAGACCAAATTGCGCATTTACGTAATTGAACATCTGTTTGTCGGATTTGGCTCGGTGGCTCCGCTGGCCTGGTTGGTGTTTCGGTGGCTGCGGTGCCTGTCGTTTTTTGCTGCATTCTTTTTAGTTCATTAATTCACTGGGTGCTGGCTACTCTTGGTCAAATTTAAATTAAAAGGTCGCAAAATAAACATGTGTGAGTGTGTGTGATTGTGTGTGTGTTGTGTGTGTGTGTGTGTGTGTGTGTGTCCTTTGGGCTAATTTGAATATTTCTGTTTGTTGTTTTTTGTGTTCCCCATCTTTTATTTTGTCATTTTCCGCGCAATTTATGTGCTACAAAAAAAAAGCACATGGCAAACAAATTGAGTTACAAATTTAACCTCCGTTTTGTTTTTAATGCTTTTGCTTTTGTCATGTTTGTTTGTTTTCTGCTTCTTGGAAATATATTTACTAATTAAAACTTTGTCCGCTGATTGAATTTTTAATAATTTAGGCTTCTTCAGCTCTCGTCCGTGATCAACTATTATTACGCGAACTTTTTGACTTCAGATTGACACACGTAATTATGCGGCTTGCGATTTGACAAGCAGAAAATACATATATTTAAATCAAATTAGCAGATAATGTCTGCGAATTTTCAATTTTCCATGCCATGCTTGATTGTTTTTCTTCCATTCCAAGTAATTTCTGCGTTTTTATGAGTTATTTCGAAAGTTTTCATTAAAATATTAATTCGAAGCATTTGCAATTGAATGGGTTAATGTGAATATGTGAACTATGTTGTGAGAGTTTGGCATTGGAGTGACCTCTGTTGGGAGGCATTCAAATTAAATTTGAAACTTTTCTATGGAGTCAATATATAAAGGTTCCCCTGTGGCAAACAAGCCAGACTGCTTAGGTTTTCAAAGAATGGTTTCCCCTAAAAACTTTTCTATGTTGAGCAGGATGTGGGCAACGTGCATCCTTTGAGACTGTTAGCAGGCAGTGCAGTGCCTAGTCTTAAATCTAATACTAAGGTCTATGAATATGTGCAAAAATATTCGAGTATCGAATTACCGATGCTTAGCAAAACTCTAAGCTTTGGATATTTCGATATGCAACGCTCGATTATTGTAAAAAATAAAAACATCATTTCGAAGCCAATATTCCATTGAACATCAGATATCATCGAACACAAAAATTTCATCGCACAGCGAGGCAACATATTTTCATTGACGCTTTCTTATCCAATGTGACGAATGGATATTAATTTCGGACTGTATATTATATCATCTTTTTCAACTTAACTGTTCCTTCTTGTAAATACTATAACTATCTTTAGCTCCGTCTTTCTTCAGCTGAGCAAGTATTTGATCTGTACTCAAGTGGACTTTCCGGCTGACTTTTAGAAGTGGGAAATTTTACTTTTTCTTAAGTTACATTCAAATTTAAAACTTGTTCTCAATATCTAATAAGAACACAAGCTTCCTTCTATTGTGTCTGCAGCCTTAATAAGACCTATTCTAATTCTCTAACTTGGCGACACGTTGAGCTAAACTCCAAAATTTAATTAGCCGTTTTTTGCCGCAGTTCATGGCTGTCCAGAGGCCAGTTTATAGCTAAATTTAGCTGGTGCCAATGTAAGCCGCCCAAAAAGGCGTTAAAACTTTGGGTAAACTTTGCTGCAAGGGCTGATGGCCGACACGCAAATTAGCTAACACGCTGATACCTATCATCAGCATAAAAAAAAAAGCAGCTGTAATTTCATCATTATGTCCAGCCACGCTGCAAACTTGGCCGTGCAACAAGCAGCATGCAACGGCTTTTGTGAAATTTGTGCCACGCTGCTAAAGTTGCCAACAAGTTTTACCCTTGCTGAGCAGCATCCTAGGTACGGGAAAAAAAATATAATCCGGCTGGGCTAAGCAGAAAAATGATTAAACAATGCAGCAGCAGCCACATAGCAGAAGGGGCAAGCAGGCCGAACGGGGCGCCGGCAAACAACTGACATGAATGCCGAAAGCCAGTGAATGCAGCTATGGAATAGCAAAGCGCTGACCCAAACCAACACACACAGAAACCAAAAGAGGGACACCAAAGACAACAACGGCAAACAAATCGGGACAGAATGAGACAATAGCCGCACCCAAGAGCTAAAGCATGGCGAAAATATCATTGAAACAAGCGACAGGCACAACAGGACAACAACGTGTCCGTGGGGGACGATGCACTGGGCTGTCCGTCGGTATGCACACAGGCCGGGCTCAAGTATAAGGCCAACTGTGGAGTCACGTGTTCGCTGTAAGCCACTGCCACAGCCGGACATAGAATTATGAATGGCCAGGCAAAAGGCAGAGCACAATAAAAACAACAACAGCAACAGCAAAAGGAGTGTGCGCTCCAGGCAGCTCGACTAGGAGCTGCTCTGTAATTATAACTTTCCGCTGAACTTTTCAGCGCAATCAGATGGTATGTAAATAGGCAAGTATACCTAGAATTGAGGATGCATCTTTTAGCATTTGGCTGCGACAAGGGCAGGCAGTCGATTTATATCGATTTTCCAAATCGATTTTTATCGGTTTGTTAAATCGATAATTTTAATTAACTTCTTGTATGACATGCTAGAACATATATTTGTCTCTAGTTTTTAATGTCTGGAATCGATATCTTAATGATTAAGAACGTATATACTTCACGATATCCGCCTGGCTTACACATTCACACCAATTAAATATCACATTTCGCATCAATTTTCATCGGTTACAGGGTATAACAGGCCGAGCAGCTCGTCAATTTTTTTCTGGAATCGGCCTGACAAAGTGCAGGCCAACTGCTGAAACTATGCAGAGTATGCAGAGCCTAGCTAAAACGGGAGACTGCTTTCCAACTGATCCGATTTGCTATGCTTCGGTTCGATGGCAACAAGCAAAATGTAAAAACTACATAACGATTTTTTTTATTTATTTTCTAGTTTTCTTTTTGCGCTCCTCTCCCTTTAACGTAGAGGAATTAAGTTATTTGTGTGTGATTTGGTTACTTAGTCAGGTCTTAATTCATCTCGGACATTATGTAGGCACTGCGAGAAACTGTTCTATGATTGTTGATGAGGATAGTTCAAGGCACCCAAAACCAGAGGTCGCAAATAACAGTCAGCTCTCGAACAAACAGAAAAAAACGAAGCGAATTCGGTTTTGCTCTCCATCGAACACTTTATTTCGTAGCAATTGTGTACTCTGTTCGTGCTTTTGCTTGAGCAATGCCGCTGTTATGTCTAACAGTAAGATCTTAACAGTACACATTCGGTCGGTCGCACAGAAATGTGTGCTTATTGAAGAGCAAAACGAACAAAGTGGAAGCGAAAGGAGTCTTTTCTCATTTGTTGTCAATGAAAGCTAGAGCGAGAGCGAGAGAGAGAGTGAGTGAAAAAGAGGGCATGGCATATTACAGTTAAGATGTAGGCAAGCTATTTTATATATGTATGTGTACATGCATATATTCAAGGCTATAAGAAAAAACACCCATTAAATAATTTATAGTTTGTTTATATATATATATTAAGCTTAACAATTAAAAATGCATGCAATTTTATTAGACACACACAAGCACAAAAGACACTGTGGAATAACAGGGCTGAAACTAAAAAAACGAAGAAAAGTGTCTTTGCTCGTGCCTAGAGCCTGCTACACAGCAACAGAACTTTGTGTGTTTTCTTTCTCCTTTATTCATTCTGTTATTTTACAGACAACCCGAAAGTGTTGACTGTTATTTGCGAACTCTGACCATAACAAATATGCCTGTCATGGGAGTAATCGATCGAAATTGAAGCTCTAGTATTAATGATCATTTTTATTCAAATAAGCTCTACCAGTACACCTTTTTTAATGATGCTTTTAATCGATTGAACAGCTTTGCACTATATCAAACAGCTGCCATAGACACAGTACGCAAATATGTGAGTTTATGTTTGGAATATGAATACTTGGTGTGAATATAGAAAAAACGCACTGGCCACATTTTTATTGCGCTTTTTTAATTGGCAGAACTTTATTCACATTTAAATATATAAATAACCGGTTTTATATTTAGCATAACATATATATCATTTGACATATGTCATGAGAAAGTATTCAAGCTTAAGCCCTACGATACGCTAAAATGTCCGACAATTATATGCTGTGATTTTTCAATTCCACAAAATACCAACACATTGGGAAATTCCATGAATGACGGCCATAAAAATACACATATTTATCACTTTTTATAGATAATGCGCAAATACTTATTAATTTTTTTATTTTTTGTATTAAATAGGAGCAATTTGAAAGCATTCCATAATTCGCAAGAAACAAACAAATGAAAAATTCTGGGAATTTGTGTGGCATGCAACTCGCGGAAAGCGTAAATATTTAGCCACTGAATGGCAGCAGTTGCCACAACAAAGCAGATGACTCTGATGGGAACTAAGTATGAGCAGAGCGCAGTCATTGCGCCCCTCAAGCCACGAGCCCCTGCTGACCTGTTGACTGTTTGGTGCCACGCTGCGTATGAGTGATACATATAAAAAAAAGCTGAACATTGCTCGCCTTTGTGCACATTCTTTATTGGTACTTGCTGGCACTTAAAAAAATACAAAATGAGTTTTCGTTCATGTAAAATCGGTATCCATAATATTCTGCAGGCGCCATCTCTCCTTTTCGGTGAGCTGAAAGAAATTATTGTTCGCGCGTTTCACCTCGGACATATTATGCAATGGTGGCCAAAATGTCGTATACGATATGCAGCTAAATATATATATAATATATATAAATATATTTAAATATCCGTGTATATATTTCGGTATATTTCGATCTAGCTTACCGCATAAAATAACAGGCATCGGCTGCAGTTCTTTGAAAATCAACATTTTGCTCGATCTCATGCTCCAGTTGTGCCTCGTAAGCCTTCCTTGAATCCTTATACCGTTGGGCGCATATCATTTCACTATATGGAGAATATATAAAGTAGTCTATGGCAAATAACTCCCCGATTACTCACTAGGGTATCTTGAATTTTGAAAAGCTCGGCTCCCGACTGCGCACATCGTGGTCATCCTGTTGATGACGCATGATGTCATGGTCTGAGATTAAAAGAGATTCCTTAGCATAATTGGGTCGTTCTGTATCCAGCTCGTTGCGGCTCGTGAATCGAAACAGCGACCCGCTTTGATCCTCATTTGGCACTCTAATGGTTTGTGCTCGACGTCCAATCAGACTTTCCTTAGCATAAAATTTGGACATTGTCTTCGCAGGCGTCGAAACTGTTTCCCTATTCACTAACGGCAGTGGGTCGGGCTCATCGTTATTTTTCTCTTCTGGGTCCATTTTCAATCAATTCATGTGCGTGTACGTCTATAGTTGAATTGTATATTTTATTTTATTTCGTTTTCCAGATTTTCTTAACTGTGTACAGTGTTGGATTTGAGTATTAATACTAAGCATATCATATGTTGAGTTTTGAAGATAAGATCTGTAGCTTATATATTGTTTACTGTACTTTTGATTTTAATATTTGCTCTGTGTTGAACTTTTTTCAATGGCAGAATATTATAAAATGCACTTTACTATGTAAACAACGTTATATCATAAAAACTTTTATCTGAACACTAATCATATTTCTTATTTGTAGTTGTAGTTGAGTGCAGTGGTTGCTCTTGAGCTTATCTGTCGTTAAGTCACTCTTGAAAGCTTCTTCCCGCGCTCGCTCTCACTTTAAATCTCATAACTGTGCTCGCCTTCATTTCACCTCCTTTTCTCGCTCCCACTCTTGTTTCAGTTCCATTCCAGTTCTTACTCTCGCTTCGCACACTCTCTCACATACCCGCGCAAATCCTCGCTCAAAGCTCACACAGCCGCTTAAATGCTCTCTCACACGTAACAACAGCTTTGGGAGCGAGCACAGTCAGTGATCAGCTGCCACAATAATCTCTCGCACTATTTAAAGATCCGTCTCAGCTGCCGCTGAAATCAGTTCGACTCGATTAGTGACCGCGTCAAGGTCGAGCTGCGTGCATATTTAAATCGAATGTGAATTTTTGTCTAACAGAACCATATAAATTCTCGCATGATTATTGCATTTTTGTGTTATTTCCCGCTATGATATCAACTCAAAGATCTCTGGGATTTCTGCTCATCGCAGCGCTGCTGCAGCGCACAGTTTACGCACAACAAAGTTAGTACAAAGCGCGCAATTAACGGGTTTTCAAGTGAATCACACGCTGTGAACTTGACTCTATGACTCGACAGCCGCCCCAATCTCCGCATCCATATCTCTGCCTGGGCCCGTCACTGTCCCTGTCTCTGGCTATCATCAAATCAGCATTAATTATATTATGATTATTAGCTTTGAGTTCTGTGCTCACTTTGGCGCCCTGAATCTGAGAAAGTGAATGACAGGCTATTCACTTTCGACTCGTGCCCTGGTTCATTGACAAACTGATTGATTCGACTTTTGGTCGAACTGAAAATATTGAAACAACAAAAAATGTCATTTATGTATTACATATTTGCTTTTGTATCAATTATTGCGAATGGTTTCTTATGAATATGGGAACTTAATTGTGCTCTATCAAAAGATATAGATAAACGACTACAAACAAAATTAACTGCTTAAAGTATATGTAAATATATTTACAAACAACTTAAATATACATTTTAAACATTATAATTATACAAATAAATTATTGATAAGAGCTGCGCGCGAATTTTTTGCATATTTTTAAATCGATTTTTCGAGATTTTTGTTTTGCTTCTAAAGTAGATTGCGAACTGTATTTATTTGCAAAACCTTTGACCGATCTTGTTATTAATATAGAAGCTTAATAAATATTTATATGGGAAATTAATTCTGTATTAGGTTAAGATATAAGTGCTGATAGTACCACGTTTTAGTCGCTTTTATGCAGCTCAAGTTGCTCGCTTTCTTAATCGCAGCAATTAGCATAAACTACTTGTATAAGAGATTAATTAATAAAGAATAAATCCCATATATATTATAATATAAGGTATATTTATGAGCAAGACAGTTTGAATCAATGTGCGTGCAGCTCTTAAAATGTTATGTACTGAAATGTTATCTTTAAATCGTCCTTTTTTAACATTATTAATTATTATTCTTAAATTGCAGATTGCCGCAATCCAAATCAAAATGCTGGCCTCTGCATATCGTTATATGACTGTCCCAGTCTGCTGAACGTGCTGCAGCAGATCTCGCTGACCAGCGATGAGCGCCTGTTCCTGCGGGACTCCCAGTGCGAGAATGGATTCGGTCGTCGGCCATTTGTGTGCTGCACGCGTGATACAAACTACGCGAATCGCCAGACAACAACAACAACAACAACAACAGGCAGATCAGTTGAGGTAGGAACAACAACAACCACAACAACAAGAAGGCCCACTAATAGAGAAGGCGGACAGTCGGGCGGCAGCCTGCTGCCGCGTGCTCCGGCGTGCGGCCCGAACTCGTTCCTCGACCGGGTCTACAATGGCAACGATACGGCTTTAGATGACTTTGTGTGGATGGCATTGCTTGACTACAGAAGTCGTAAGTGGATCAGCTTTGATTTGTAGCAAGCGTTAGCTTTATTGGTTACCTTCTCTTTACCAGGCGATGGCCAAAGACATCTCAACTGTGGCGGCAGCCTGATCAACAATCGGTACATCCTAACCGCTGCCCACTGCGTCACGGGCGCCATCGAGACCGAAGTGGGACAACTGTGAGTAGCTCAACAATATTCCTCATCCATTAACCCAAGCCTCATGCCTCTGCAGCTACCGTGTGCGCCTGGGCGAATATGATCTCAACAAGGAGGTGGACTGCGTGAAGGGCGTCTGCAATAAGCCCGTTCTGGAGGTTGGCTTCGAGGAGGTCATCGTGCATCCGCAATACGATGCCAACGGTCGGGATCGTCATCACGATATTGCGCTCATACGTCTGAATACACCTGTCGAGCTCAATGAGTACATTCAACCCGTCTGTCTGCCCTTGGCCAGCGTTCGAGCTGCCATCAACAACAAGGAGCTGCTCGTTGTCAGCGGCTGGGGACGCACGCTACTCAGTGAGTGTTCTATTCGAGCTCAAAATATTCTAGCCATAATCGAGCTAAAAACAGGGAAAATCCAACAGATTTTTAGGTAGTTTTAGGGATTTTTTTTGTTCCTCAAGATAAAGTACTTATGATATTACCCTCTCTCTTAACCTTTACTCTCTCTCTCACTCTCCTTGCAGCGCGTCAGAGCAATATTAAGCAACGTCTGGATGTGCCCGTTGCTGATCCCAATTACTGTGCAGAGAAATTCGCCACGCGGCGAATTAATGTGATCAGCTCACAATTGTGCGCTGGCGGCGAATTCTCGCGAGACAGCTGCGACGGCGATTCTGGCGGACCTCTGATGCGTTACAGGGACGCTTGGTATCTGGAGGGGGTCGTCTCGTTTGGCAATCGCTGCGGACTGGAGGGCTGGCCGGGCGTCTATACCCGCGTGTCGGAATATATAGATTGGATCGAGGGCGCAATACGTGCGTGAGGCGTTGCAATTAAATGCAGTTTGAGGGCAACCTAAAATTAAGTTTTAATTAAAGAGCGAGCGATGTGAACTTAAGCAAAAGGCGACGCATTTTAATTAACTTGCATTAAATGCGATTTTATCGGCAGCTGCAACGCGGCGTATACGTAATGCGCTTAGTGCCACCGTTTGCGGTAATTAAAACGATGCCTCAGAAAGTTACTTTGGGTGAACGCTGCCAAGTTGCCCGAGGCGCCAAGTCCTTGCAAGTCCTCGCAACGATTTTCTATGCAATTTGGCAATGAATTTCTATTATTTGCACTTGCCGTCCAGAAAGCATCGCCTGCTTCTCCTCTTCATCTTCCTCTTCCTACTCCTGCTGCTGCTGTTGCCGCCGCTGTCCCGATTAAATTGTTTGTTAGCGCTGCGTAATGGGTGGGCGTGGCCATGCTCAACAAAGTAGACAATGAATGGGCTGAGCGAAAAGGTTAATGAGGCCTGCAGGAAATGCAGCCAAATAAGGTAGCGTAAGCTATACAATGAACTGAAATTCTCCAAAGGCTAGTGAAGTGTATGCAGCGTGTCAGAGGGGGTGGGGGTGGAGGTGTGGGTGGTGCATTGGCATACAGTTTGGCTTTGATTGGCGTCGCCGTAAACCGAGTTCACTTCAAGCTCTACTCGAGACTACTTTTGCATTGGAACTAATTATGAAAGTTAAGACATTAAATAACCAGTTCCATTAGCGGCTTTGAGCCTGGCTGCGGACCGACTTTTCAAGAAAAGCGCAATGGAATTACGAACTGGCACAAGAAGGTAAATAGGGAAAACAATCTATTATAGTTTCTGGAGGATTCCTTTAAGAAATTCTCTATATGCATTATTAATGCCAAAACGAACCCAAGAATTCGAACGCAATTGAACTAATATATTTGGCAAAATAATATAAATACATTTTTATTCGGGCATATCTATGTATATCATCAAAATTTGATTCTCCAGCGAGCTTCATTAATTAATTTCAAATTTAAATAGCACGTAAATTTAAATTTAATTTAAATGACCTTTTTGGTTGGATACGTCCTAAATACTTTTTAATAAATTTAAAATGTGAAAGAAAAATAAAACAAAAACAAAAAAAGAGCAAAGTAGCAGTAAATTGTAGATAAAAAAGTGCCTGCTTTGAAGCGTTTTAGTTATCAGTTGCCAACAACTTGGCGCAACTGTTGCCAAAAACTCTCGACTGTGTGTGCTGAAAAGTTTGCACCAGTTTCGTGCTCCGGCCCGGCCATGTGTGGCCAAATCGGCCAGCAAAAACAACATGGATAAAAAACACACTCACTTTGCCTAAACGCTGGCAAAAACTTGTAATTCAATTTTGGGCAACTTTACACAAATGCAAGCCAAATGTAATTAACACGCACACACACACACACACACACACACACACACTCTCACAGACGAAATTGCAGACGGCACAGCCACACCTGGCACTGGCCAGCCAGACTGACTGCCATCAATTGGCCCGAAAAGCGCTCCAAACTCACACTCCGAGCCATGTGTAAATTTGTGTTCCGGCCTCCAGTGATTTGGCTCGGCTTCTGCAAAGCGAAGAGGAACGCAGGGGGGGGGGGGTGAGGGGCGATGCCAACGCAGTGTAATTGAGTTGTGTTTGCAACATTTTAAATAGCCGCCGGCGTTAACGAGCCTGCCTCGTAATCCACTTGGCTTATTGTGGAGTGGAGTTTCGGCACAGGCAAAGTTTGGCAAATACGTTTAGATAAGTGGCCACGGCAGGGAATCCATATTAGATATATAAATACTTAGACATAATATGTTTAGCTAACTACTTTCTGCTGTTAAGTCGGAGAAGCAGCTGGAAAAGTTGTACAGGACATTTGCCTGATTGATAGCCTACACATACAGCACTTTAATTG